ATGCAAGTTCGATCCAAAAAAACAATTATTGGACGCTGATGACGTCATCGGCGGAAAATACGTAATAAATGCCGAATACTGAAAATTAGCCGGTGCTTTCTGACCAATTAGAAACGAGAATACATATTAAATGTATAATAAAATAGTTTATACCTGCATGTAAACCACATATTAATCATAAGTATTCTCTAGTTATAATCACTCCGCGTATTTTCAGTTCTCTACTGTACATTACTACAATGTTGTATTTCGTCTGATGGAGCCTGGTTTCCATACGGTCGTATACAACCGTCGTAAAGACAACCCTCGAAATTCAACTATTTTTGCCTCGGCAAATAATTGCCGAAGTCTTTCGATAATTTTCGAGTTTGCCTCGGCAATGCCTCGGCAATTTTTTTGCCGAGGCGCGCAATGAAATCACCTTAAATTCCTACGGCAATTACTTCGGCACCCTTCGGCATTCACGTCTGCAGTTGTAATTAAAGTAACGTACATACGGAAATTATTGTAAACAAATATTATAACGAGTGTAGATTCTGACGGTTGACAATTTGTTGTTATTTTACAAATTCCTGATTCAAAATGTTTTTAAAAAGTTAGTGGTAATTAACAACAAATTGTATGAAAGAATAAACTTGACGGTAATCACGCGACAGTGTAAAAGATAAAACCAAGTTTCTCGACGTGCCGTCTTTAAACCATCAAGATTGTTTTTATTTAAGCGGAAGCCGACGCTGAAAAGCTCAAATTTAAATATTTTGTGAAGTAGCTATGAATAAAATCTTCTGTTATTCACCCGGGCGACGTCGATGACAACAATTCGAACAAAGAAGTGATACAATAAAACGAACACTGTAGTTTGTAAATTTAAGCAGAAAAACGAACAGACGCTGTAGTTTGTAATTTATGGTCTTTAAGGTACAACGGGTGGAATTACCTCGGCATTTTTTTGCCGAGGCAAACTACGAAAAATCGTAACTTGCCTCGGCATTTGCGTCGGCAATTGCCGAGTGCCGAGGCGAATTTCGAGGGTTGATTAAGATCGAGTCACGATCTTTCTAGTACATGTGAACCAGGCTTTAAGGGTCACTATTTGGCGTTCCGAACTTTTTCTTATACGTGTACAGTTCAACCCCGCATATAAGAACCTAGAATTGAAGAACCTGTTAGGCTAAAAAAAAATTATTTCGACCCTCTTTAAAAAAGAACCTGCATGTTTAGGTTAGAATTTTAAAGCAGGTTCTTAATTTGTCAAATAGAGTCAAAACTAAAAAATTATAAATCAAAGAAAATGAGTTCTTCGTGTCATTCAGATAAATAACATGTTTATATGAATACAACAATTTCTTCAGTGAAAATACTACATGACAATCTCAACTATACTGTAGTGACTGTTTTCCAGCATCATTGACTATTGGATAATTTGTGCGTAATTTATATTAATTATATACCACACCTATATACCGAAAACGAGTCGCTTTTCTCTTAAGAAAATAGGAACCTATTTACAGTCGATTTCACGAAACTTTGGCCACAAATGTTCCGAACTTCGTTGCGAAGTTTGGAAGCTCATATTGGAATTCACAAGCCAATTTGTAAACAAAGTCCCTGATTGGTCCGTGAAGTAAAAGAAGCCAATCAAATGCGTAGTTTACGAACTGGTTTATGAATCTCATTATGAACTTTTGAACTTCGCAACAATCTTGTGAACTTCGCAACGAAGTTCGGAAAATTTGTGGTCAAAGTTTCGTGAAATCGACTGTAAGAACCTGTTTAGCCCAATTTCCTGGTAGGCACCATGTACATAAGAACCTATTTAGGCTAACTTGGAAAAATTTAGGTTTCACGTTATATACCGGGTGGCGCAAAAAATGTCCCCCTCTTTGACTTATTGTAATTGAAAAACTAAAGAAGCCATCTTATTCAAATAACGTTTATTGAACGCAGTAATGTCTAACTTGATGTATGCCTTAAACATTTCTATAGAATATTAGCCGAGCTAAGTAAAGAGTTTCGTGTTTTTTAGATTCTGAACAGATCGGTGCGAAGAGAAGGAAAAAGGTTCCACATTTTGGCGACCAATTCGAGCAAGCTTCTAGTAGTGGTATGCAAGGCATTGACCCAGGGGCTGGTCCTTCAGGAGGCGAAGCTTCGAGTGCCGCTGGTCTTCCAGTCCTTAATCCCAGCATGCTCTCCCCTTGGTTGAGTACTACAGGGTTTCCTGCTTTAGGGTTTCCTGGTTTATTTGGCCCCGGATTCCCTAGTGTTGGCAGCTTTGGCACTGGTAGTTTTGGAGGTGTTGGTGGCGATATTGGTCAAGCACAGTTCCAACCAACTGGCCAGGAACCTTCCACCAGTAACATGCCGTGAATTGCACGGACTTTCATTGAGTAGGATGAGCGATTATTAAAGGTAAACTAACATCATAACTTGGTCGCGACGGCCGCGAGAAAATGCGAACTAGACTTGTATAATTGAAAGACAACTGGCAATGCTACATTCCATGCATACAGTATAGTGTAGTGTCGTTAGGGCGTGTTCATACGAGCGCAGCTGAGCTGGAACCTCGCCTGAGCGAGATTTGCATGTCCTTTGTTACGCCTGGTTTCCATACGATCGTTACGATCGCTGCAATCATTGCGATCGCTATAAAAATTTACCCGTGGTCGTAAAGATCGCGATCGTTCTTCATATGATCGCTTCATTTTTTGCGCGAAAATAATGTGAGAGAGCTGGGAAAAAGTTTATGGCACGAAAGTTTAAAAATGACAGCAATAAACGAGCGTTTGTTATTGGAAGCTTGGTTCCTCAACATATTGCGAATTTTTAGACGACGACGAGAGAAGAAGCAGAAATTATACGGAGATAGCAAGGGTTACGATCGTTGAACTTCCAAAGGGTCGTTACGATTGGTGAGATAGAAATTTTTCCATCACGATCGTTACGATCATTGCGGTCGCTGCGATCGCCAACTAATGGACCTATTCCCTAATGAACAAAATTTTGATCTAGATAAGTCTAGACAAAAATTTTATCATGGCTTAAAAGAGCATCACAAAATTAGTAATATTCCGAAGTTTCGTTGCGAAATATTGTAAAATGCGGATAATAGAGCCCTGCGAAGTTTGCCGTTTTTCAGTCATTTTGTATTACACATGCACGGGAAATTGATACCGCTTTCTGAAAAAATTCTTGTAGACTTGTCTAGATCAAAATTTTGTTCATTTAATAGGGAATAGGTCCATTGATTTCCATATAATCACTACGATCGCTGGTACATTTTTCAAGCAATCGTAATGATTGTAGCGATCGCAACGATCATATAGAGACCAGGCTTTAACGCATTCCATTATGAGAAACGAGGCAGCCCGGCTTGGTGAGATCTCATCTCGTGCTAGGTGACATCTCAGTCGGGTTGCATAAAATTTCCCATATGAAGTCTTTATCCCACCTGATCGGGATGGAAATTTTTTGCCGATTTTGACCTATAATATAGTATTGAACGGCATAGTTGAAAAATACAACGATTCATTTATCTCACTCGGGCGAGTTTCTGGCAAACCAAGCGCATATGAACACACCCTAACCATGGACTGGATTTTTGTTCATGCTTCCAAACAGTTCCCGGATTTGGTGAAGAATATCGCTAAATTTTGTGCAGTGACAAAAAATTGCAGTATATATGTGTGGGGCATCGCATATTTATTGATTTACCTGCATAAGATTTACAATTAGTTTACAGTAGCATACTTTATAATGTAGTCTAGATATTATCGTTGGCTTCCACGCGGACAGGTATTGCCGATACTTTCCTTATCGACGTGAGTTTTTCGAAGACGATGTCCAAAGAACGAGGGCAATTTGAAGTCGCTGAAAAACTCACGTATGTAGCCATACATATCCCATTTTCCCCATCTTTGCAAAAATAGGCAAATCCCATTTTAAAGACCCTCGCATGAATATTGCATACGAAGATCACGCGAGGAGCTGCTAGTCTGCTACGTTGTCTTCTACTTTGACTTTGCTTTACGTGTTAGCTTTGTATCAGTGGTTGACACTGGTGGGAGGGTGGGGTTTGTTCGCAACTTAATTCGCCCCCCCCCCCCCCCCCCACTTTCCCCT